GAGATTTCGCCTGTGACACCAAATGATAAACATCGTCAGAACTCATTCTTGCAAAAGCGTCAAGTTACTAGCACATCATGAAGACTAGCTGTTTCTATCCTACAGGCTATATTATCTCTTGGGAAAATATGAATATTTATAGATACATATGTATATATAATGCTTTTCTAATTCTCTTTCTTATTAGTCTCGGCATGTTTGTGTGTGCTTGCGTGTACTAACATCTGTATGTAAGTCAAATTACACAATACTGGCCATAACTCAAAATGAAAACCCAAAGGAATACCGTCGGACCCAGATCATCTGGGTCCAATGACTCGAGGCAAAACATGAGTGGGATTGCGTAATCTCGTACTTCTGTTTGGATTTATGAGTTCAACAGAACTATTGGGCAATTGTGAATTGGGTTGGAGGCATCACTAAACTGGCCAGTTGGGGCGTCTCTTTTTATTGGTGCTTCAGCATCCTCTCTAACTCTTTTCTTTTCTCCATTGCCTACATTCAGCATCTTCCCTAATCCCTTATCTTGTCTTTACCAACCAAGGTACCAAAATCCTCCCCGTGCCCGGCCACTTCTGACTATTGGACCCAGCTTTCTATTAAAGTATGTTTCGAGCACCAGTCGAGTGCTGCACACTCGATTTGTAGAAATTAATTAGGCATTTCCAACTTGTGTGGCCTCTCTAACCTGCCAAAATTTGTCTCCCGTCTCTAAAGACAGACTTTTAGTCAGAATCATCCCTCAGACAGGGAAACACGCACAAAAACATACACACAAGCACACATCTGACGATATGGCAGGAGGAAGCTCATTTAAGTCACTCCGTTACGAAGGGTCTACTAACAGTATAGCAACTGTCAATGTCACTGGGATTTCTCAAGTCCGAAACCGGAGATTCATTCTATTTTGTCTCCTCATTCAATAAAAGTGAGAGAGAGTAAACGATAAGAGGAGCTGTAAGCCTTAACGAATTTCTATATCAATTGTTCCTTTAAAAGTAGGTTAGCGAGACAACCAAAAGATCATGTACATGAGATGTATTCACCATATTTCGTTAAGGTGATGAAGGATTGTTTAAAGTAATCGAATTTTTGGAAGTTGTTTGCCCTTGAACAACGTAAAGAATTGATATGAATTTTTTTAAGGAATAAAAAAATTTGGTAGATGAGGTCAGAAGTGTTTGTAAGTTTCGATGTACAATCATCTCAAGTGAGAAGGATTTAAGTGCTCTGTTGAAGATCTTGTAATAAGAAGAGGATATTCTGCAAGAAGAGCGGGTACGGAATGAGTCGTTAACGCGACTAATCAACATATTTTACATTCAACACCATTATCTATGATCAAATATTTGGACTACTGATGGGATCGCCACTCTCGCCTCTTTTGGCAAATGTATGCATGTACAGATTGGAGAAGGAATTCGAGAAGTCACCGCTGCAACCAAAAGTGCTTATGCGATACCTGGACGACTACTTTGCACTTTGGTCGCATAGTAACGAAAATTTGGATGAATTCTTCAATTTTATGAGCCAACTTGATGGAAGAATTAAATTTACAATGCAGGTGGACAAGGGTAAACGACTACCCCTTTTGGATGTTTAGGTCAAGAGGAGACTATTCAGAAAGAAATCGCATGCGGGAATAATTCTCAATTTTAAGTCTCATCGCAACTACGATGATGAGGAGTATGATCATCAAAAACTTACGATTAACGGACATTGAGTGCAGTAACGAGGAGTTGGAGAATCTGATTCGGATTTGCCTTAGCAACGGATACCCAAGAGAACTTATTGAAAGAAATACAAGGGTCATAAAGAGCAGATTACAACTGGGACTTTACGAAAATAAGATCGGAAATCAGGATATGCCTGCCATCCTGTGAATTGAGCCAGAAATTGCGACCGTTGCTAAGTAAATGGAACATCAAGGTGATAACAAAATAAAAAAACAACCCTTTTCACAAACCTGCCGACGCAACACGAAAAAGGTTGACAAACTGGATTGCTCGGGAGTCTATAGCATCTAATGCGGCAACTGTGAGCAGAAGAATGTTGGTGGAACAGGAAGGAAAATCAGTCCACGAATAAAAGAGGACCAAAGACTCTGCAGAAACATGGACACTGAAAGATCCAAAATAGTGAAACACATGACATGAACGGGACACGAAATCGAGTTGAAATCTACAGAAAGGCTGGCTGCATATGTTGGAATTACAAGAAAGCGTAAGATTTGAGAAGCCATTGATATCCTGTCTAAAAGAAATCTAATTAACAGGAGGCTTGAAGAAGGCAGGATTTGCGAAAACTGTGCATATTGCCTAAACAAAATAGGAGAAGATCAGGAAATAGAAGACGACTGGACAAAGATAATATATTAAATTTGAGAAAAATTTGTTTTCGCAACTTGGTCATGTTGGCAGGAAGACTTAGAGGAACGCACCTTGTCCGGAGTCCATTGCATGCACATCATTTCCAGAGTATGACCGTGGACGTGGTACATTCCCATACGTTTCGCCGGCATCGTCAGTAAGTCTCGCCATTCGTAGCACCACACAACAACTCATCAAAGAGACAAGTGAAGTCCATCCTTTGACGAAACGGGTGCTAAACAGTTGTGGTATCATCATCATCAGAAGCTTACGGCTAACGGGCTAACGAAATTTTGGCAAGATGAGTTGGAGAATCTGACTCTGATTTGCCTTAGTAATGGATACACCAGTTAATTTATAGGAATAAATATGGAGGTCACAAAGAGCAGATACCAACTATGATTATATGAAAATAAGATCAGAAAGCGGGAGGACTAAAAGAAGTGAATATTCCTGCCTTCCTGTGAACTGAACCAAAAATTGCAACCGTTGCTAAGAAAATGGAATATCAACGTGTCAACAAAAGCAAAGACAACATTGTTCACAAACCTGCCGACGCAACACGATAAGGTTGACAAACTGGATTGCTCGGGAGTCTATAGCATCTAATGCGGCAACTGTGAGCAGAAGAATGTTGGTGGAACAGGAAGGAAAATCAGCCTACGAATAAAAGACGACCAAAGACTTTGCAGAAACATGGACACTGAAAGATCCAAAATAGCGAAACACATCGCCCGGACAGGACACAAAATCGACAGAAAGACTGGTTGCAGGATACGAGAAGCCATCGGTATCACGACTGAAAGAAACCGAATGAACAGGAGACTTGAAGAAGGCAGGATTAGCGGAAACTGCCTAAGCAAACTCGAAGAAGATCAGGAAATAGTAAGCTTAGCAAAAAGAAGACAACTGAGAATATACCAATTTCACGATCTGATGCTGGCCGAGGACTTCCGACAAGGTACGTTCTACCAAGTCGCCCTGACAACAAAACCAAGTTGCGATACCGAGATCAACCCACTTATACTCATATGAATGGGAGAAAATTCAACATCTAATCGTCATCATCTTAATTAAATAGCGTGAAAACATCTTAATTATTTCTGTTTGCCAGCAATATTTCAGCCCATTTGTATGTCTGTGCTGAATATGCTCAAATGGAGTTAGCATTGACTCGAATGAGACATCTTTTGCGCTGACCTGGTCGCCCGAGTTACGCGCTTCAAGCACCAAATGTGTCGGTTGTCATCAGCACAAAGTGCAGGTGTCAAGGTAACAGGCCTAATTATGCCGCGTAAATATGCGTACATTTTGGCCAAAATACAACCTATTTTATATGCGACTATGCTGCGATGGTATCAGTCATTTGTGAGTTGAAACTTAGTCAGCTTAGCTCGCTTTAGCCAATTTAAGGATTAATCAGATGCCGTCAAATGCCGCTTGGCCTCACCTTTCAAAACGTTTTTCTCCTCCAAGCCTCACCGGACAGAAGATTCGACCTCGTCTCATCGTCTCTTCTCAACATCCATTCAAGGCAGGCCAGGCCTCTTCCAAAACATATTTTACAGTGGATTGTTGCTTAGGAAAACATGTATTTAACATTGCAACAGATAACCAGGTTACGCGAAAATAAGAAATTGTTGAATACTAACTTAACTAGTATCGCTTAAGGTAATTTAGGAAAAGACATCCATAATCATAAGTTTCTGAATAAGAGCTGCATTCACACTAGATCGCATAAGATAATAGAGGGCTGAGAGGGGAATTTTGCCACAATTTTTCGCTTCCCGAAAGGTATTCACACCAAAGAGAAAGTGAAGTGTGGTTTTGGCGCTGCCTAAGTCGCATCGGCATCCCCAGCTCAAATCAAATCCGGTCAATGCAGCGAATAATTTCGGCATGGTACTATCACGCCACACTATCACGAGTGTCCTTGGGTCACAGGGCAGCAGTGAATTTCAGGGAATGGCAAGTCTTTTCCATATGACAATTTTGTAGTGGGAATATCGATGAAACAAACTTGTCTTTGTTATTATATTCGACAACACTACTTATATTCATAAAAAGTAGGGTTTAAAATAGCACTTATGCAAACCCTACTTAATAGGAATATAAGTAATGTAGCCTATTGCAATAGCAAATACAAACTTGTTTCACCAAATGAATTCATCACAAAATTCAATTATCGCTCTCTTTTGACCTTATCTCACGTATATTTACTGATGGCATCGAAACACAGTCAATGTGAATAAGCTTATTTGTAAATTGGCCTCATCAGTAATTAAAGCGAGAATGCCTGTGAACGGTTTTGATTGGTCGAGGCTGCATTCCACTCCGGCTTGGATACGAATATCTTTGGGGAAGACAACACTACGTAATGGAATGGTATTATGTAATGGCTATGAAAGGCAAGGTACGTTTGTGAATGCACCAATTCAATGGTCCGATGCCGGACATCACGAATACTATGACAGAGGACATGGGACTAGATACGTTCCACAACGTCTTCGACCAAGTTGCAAATAAGAGACTGATCCAAAACTATAAAGCTGATGAGATTGCGACCAAACAAAAGGTCATGCCATCATGGCTTTCATAACCAAGATCTAAGGCTATGAAAAATTTGAT